GGGAGCACCCATTGCTTATCAAGAGCAGTGAAATTTTCATCTTTTTGTGAACTTGCTCTGCCTTTTTGTGAATTTGTTAGCTACTGAAATTATATTTTATATTTATGAAATATCCCTTGGTATCCTTTTTCCTATACATTTCCCCTCTCTTTTCAATGTATTTTACTGTAATTTAAAACATAGAAAGAGCAGTGAAAATCCCCATCACTCAATTTCATGACCTCACCATTCCTGCCCTTCCACCAGTGCTGAAACAGCACTTTGGAATGACTGTCACTAGTTCTTTATCTTATCCGATCTTATTTTTCAGAGCCTCAGATAAAAGCAGGTGGGATTGCTTTTAATGTTGAATAGTTTTGTCCCTGAAAATTGCACATTTTTTTTTTTAAAGTTGATCCTTCACAGGTACACTAATGCCAACTTATACCTGTGCAAAGCAAGGCAAGATTGAGCATAGGCTAATTTATGGAGAATTGCTAGCTGTCATCTGCCTAGGTGTAAATGGAAAATGTACTGGTACTCACCCTCTTGGCAAAGCAGCTGTCTCAGTTTTAAGTGTTGAACTGACAGTTCTCTCAGTATTTTCCACCTTTTCAACAGCACCCCAAGTCAGCAACCACACTAAAAAGGAGAAATATTAACTCCCCCAGTTTTTTCGAAACAAATAGGGCAGATGTGCACATTTCTCCCAGCCATTAACTCTGAACATTTCTGCAGCTTTTTTCGAAATAGTCAGAGAACTGCAATGACCACGGCAGTAAATGCTTAGAAAAGGACCTCCATAAGGGGTCAAGGAGTATTTCCCCTTTCTGGAGCAGATGGAGACCCAGGGAAGTGTTGAAAAGTTGGAGGGCACTGGAAACTGTTACTTCACCTATTAAAATTGGGCGAATTGATAAGTGAGAGCTATTGCTGCCTCCCCCTTTTGGTGCACATACTTCTCCACTTCTTCTCCATTTACTGTTGCTTTTTAGTGGACAGCTAAACAAAGGACAGCTGGCAGCTGTGCACAAATTAGCTGCAATGCAGGCTCCCTTTGTCCTCGCACTTTGACAGTGGAAACAGACACGGGAATTGACCAGTCGCGACTACACAGATTGGACGGCCGCAAGTGCAGGCTTCTGCACCTGGACTTCACCCCACTTCAGAAAGCTCCATACAGAAATGCAGTCTTTGTAAATCTATCGATCCGCCATCTAAGGAGGCAGAGTTGCCAGATCTGGTGGCTGTGCATATGCAGGGCCAGACTGACTGTACGCAAGTCCTAAAGCTATAAGACTGCGATCTTCTTCTTCCTAGTAGGGTACAACCTGGATTTCAGATTGCAGCCTGATCTTCCCCAAGGGGGCAGGGGGTGTCCTTCACTTCACAAAAGGGTCCTCGATTCAGTTGAGGTTCCCCTGGCGAGTGGAGGGAAATAGGGTGGCCATGTGCTTTACTTTACAGAGGATAATTCTCCTGTGAAAGCAGCCTCTGTTTGAAAGGCTGCCCAGTCTGAGGCTGATGTAAAGGTAAAGGAAGCCAAGGTGGGCCTCAGAGCTGCCCATCCACAGTTAGCACCTAGGCAGCAGGTGGAGAAGGTTCATACCTTTTCACAGGAAACAAAAGGCTTATAACAAATGGATGATTTCGAGCCCCTGAAAAGGGACATTTCTCAAACATGTCAGGCAACAATAAAACTGCTTTCACTGGCACCTAGGACTTTTTAATTTTTGCCCCTTTACTTCCTGTGATACATATATGCTTTCCCCTCTCATTTGATTATGCACCTTTTCATATTCTCATACCACTAGAATGATATGTATCTATTTCAAATTAGAAACATAGAAACAGAGCGAGTCAGAAGGGGTCTCCCAGACCATCTAGTCTGACCTCCGGCACCAGCCGGCTCCGCTCACGACATGCCCACCATGTGCACATCCAGCCTATCCTTGAACACCTGCACCGATGGGGCCTCAACCACCTCCCGTGGAAGCCCATTCCACACCCTCGGGGTCCTGACTGTCAGGAAGTGCTTCCTGGCATCCAAACGGAACCTTGGCTCCCTGAGCTTTGCTCCGTTGGAGCACGTCCTGCCTTCCTCTGCAGGGGAGAACAGGTCTCTACCCATCTCCATGTGACATCTCCTCACATACCTGTATGTCGCCAACAGATCCCCTCTAAGTTCCTCTTATCCCGGCGGAAGAAACCCAGTTGCCTCAGTCTTGCCTCATACGGCATCCCCCCTGCAAATTGGCCACCAAACTTGTGGCCCTACGCTGCACTGACTCTAATCTGGCTCTGTTAGAGTCAGGTTCTTAATCTGGCTATATTACAGTCAGTCAGAACTATTAAGTTCTTGCAATTTCTCCCTACACATGAGAGAATCTTGTGCAACTGTCTGTCATCTTTTATCTTCACATTCATTAGGACATTCCTCTTTTTTGGCAACGTGCATTTGAGGGAGATGATTTTGCCCATTCCTGCTTTGCCCAGCAACCTCCCCACCACCACCTCCCTGGCTGTTCCAGGCCCACTGGCTATCCGGGAAGCACATGAGGCTGCAGCAGGCAGTGGGGATTATGGAACAGCAACTCACTCTCCCTTCTGCCAATGTCCCATGAGTCAAGTTCTGCACAAGCACCGAAGCCGATAAGCATTCGGTGCAGAACTGCTGTCGAGTAAGGCTCACAGTGCCTGAACGCCTGGGAGCTGGGCTTGTTCATCGCTCCTGGCCAAATAGCCCTCCGTTGACGCTGTTGGTGCTGCATCAGCCCCCAACCCCCACTGACTTTGCTTCAGCCTGATGACACAGCACAGAGCAGTCCATCAGCTGCTGCCTGGGGCAGATTTACCCATCTGTATAAAGTTCAGAGGAGGAGTCAAGCTCTGTTTCAAAAGGCCATCTGATCTAATGTTATTTAAATCATTAACATGCTGCTGAAACAAGTGCATCATTAATTATGATTAGGAGGAGTCAAAGGTCTTTGAAGAAGGAAGAGTGGGCATCTTTTTGTAAAAATAGCCAGAAGGCATCTTATTGAATCAAGCAATGCCTTTGTCTCTCCCATGCACTTGGTTATATAAAGCAGGGAAAGACAGATTGCACACTTCCAGAAATGCCTTCTTCTTTTTCTAGAACCCCAGGTCCACCAGTCAGAGACTGGTGCAAAAGGAAGTTGTGCTGAAGGCTAGAACTGAATAGGGATCACAAAGACCCACTCCTGGTTCTCCCAGGCTCTCTTCATTTCAGAAGCAGAATCTAGGAGGGAAGCATCATTTTGTTGGGGAAGAGCTCATTAAATTGGAGTCAGAAATCCTTGCTGATCTACTGGTAATCAAAGAGGCTGACCAGCTCTACCTTTGGCCTATTCTTGATAAAGAGCCATGGCACCAATAGAGTTTTCTGTTTTGGAAAACTCCTGGGGAATGCATACCAGTGGTGGGCGGAGCCAAAAGAAAAAGGGGCAGGGCCTGAATTATCACCAGTAGCAGCATCAGTAAGCCTTAAGAGAGACGTCTCATCTCAGCCTTTAAAAAGGGAGGAAGCTGCATCCAATGCAGGGCATAACTGTTGAAATGCCTCTCCTGAGGCTTGGTTATTGGCAGGAAGGGCTTTAAACTAAAATAAGCTGGTATGTTTGGCCCTTCCCCATTGCTTTTGGCCCTTCCCACCACTGGAACGTGGCCCTGAGAGCTCTTTGAATGAGAGCCTGGGCTTGAGCAGGTTCAACACCTCTGGTTCAGGTGCATCCCAAGTTATATACCATTTCCTTCAGCCAACATACAACCCCATTCAGAAGGGCTAACATCTGCAGTTCCTAGAGCTGGGTACCACTCACAGGACCCATGGAGTCTCTGCCTTGTCAAAGTTTAGTTTCGAGTTCATTTCAACGTTCCAGCACTACATACCCAGATATGGAGTATTTTCACTTATGGTCACTTATCTTACTTTGGGATGGGCAAGCCCCATTAACAGTGCAATCTTTTACATCGCTCCTGAGAAGTAAGGCATATTAAGCCAAATGAGACTTACCCCCAGGGAAGTCTGCAGCCTACAGATAATTGGAATTTAAGCTGAACTATATTTTTGCAAGTATTGAACATTTGTCAAAACTCAGATGGATAATCTGAAATCCATCTATTCCAAAGCTAATCATGAATTTATATGACCGAGATCCAAGGACACAGCAAAGGCAAGCATTAGGAACATGAGTTGTGACCAACAAGGTGACTAATTACAAAATCCAAGTGGCACCATCACTTGTCAGTCATTGTTTTCACGAACATGCACCATTAGTGTTGACTGATGTCACTAAAAAAATTGTTAGGACAATCTAATTGCATTTATTACATAGCTGCTGGTTTGATATTTTATAGGATTTTAATAGCATTGGTATTATTAGGACTGTGTTCGCATTTGTAAGCTGCTTTATGATTTATTCTAAGTATCATATAAATTGGATGAATAAAAAGATGAAACAAATACATTTCTGCACAGGATCTATTAAGCTTAGCAATGATTTTTTCATGTGAATATATGCTTTAATCTGCTGTATTTTTGTGGAGTCTAAATAGAGAACAGCTAGTCTGTTCAGTTTTAGATTTCCTCTGGAAAGTAATAGCCTCAGGAGAAAGAGAATGCACACCAGCAAAAAATTAATTGCAAACCATTCAGCCCTGCAGGCTAGAAGATGTCAGTTTTTCCCACAGTATGAAAGGCAGTGGGAAGATTTCATAGGAAAAGCTTGTCCCCCCCCCCCACTCCCCGGGTTGATTTATTGTGACAATAATTGTTTGCAATTATCTAAAACTAATCTAACACACATCTTCCATGGGTTTATGGAGAAAAATTGAAAGTGAGTGTCATGTAACAAGCCAGTGTGAAAATCAGAAGGTCTGCAGCAAATCCAAATAACTCTCCATCTCATGCATATATCCAATTAATTTAAGCCTGTTTAATCGCTGGGTCATTGCAAGTATTTCAAAGAGTTACTTCTGCCAACCCATTTATCTCACAGTTTGAATTTCAATGGCGTTCACCTGGCATCTGCTGGACAATTCAGTGATTTCCTGGGGAGCATGGGACCAGCCCAGTTCGTGGGTCGCCAGACTCTGGCCACTACCTCCATGGGTAAGCATCACAAGAGCTATTACTTTTATGCATGTATGTAGAGTACCAGTGCCAGTTATTTTTCCGGCTCTTTGGGCAAGGCACCTTCTCCCTGGGGGTCTGCCTTCTCGCCTCCACTGCTACAATCTCTCATCCTTATTCTTATCACTGCTACCATTTGCTTGCTTGATAGGGAGCAAGTAGGTAGAACCGGCTCCTCTGACTCCTTCTCTTGTCTGAGCCAGAGGGGAGGCAGGCAAAGAAGGGGGTTACAATGGTGAGCAACCCCAGGTGGGCCCTTGCTATGGTAAAAACCACAGAGCTTGTTCTCCTAGGACTTTTAACTCTCTCCCCCTCTGCTTCTGTGAATCTGGGGGCCACTAGAACAAGACTGGGAGGTGGCCCCGGGCTATAGTTTTTGCACCTCTGATATATAACACTATTTATGTACAATGTCCTGCAGAAGTATTTTCATGCACTCCTTTGTGTTACCATCTGGATCTCAACTGGATTTAACTGAAATCATTCCTAGTTGTAGTTGCAGTTGTTTTTATTATTATTTATTTCGTTTCCATACTGCCTGCAGCTGAAGTCCTCTTGTGGTTTACAACAAGATACTCAGCACTGTGGAGGTGTAAAATATATTTTTTGTGGCACAAAAATTAAATAGACAAAACAAACTGGTACCAGTTGATTGTGTAAGCATTCATTCCCTTTGTTGTGACATGCTGAAATAGGTTTTGTGCAACCGCTGCCTCCAGAAATTATAAATCTGAGTATGTAATCGAATGATGTTCACCTGGTGATACTCCAATGTCATGTAACTCAGGTTAGCTAAAGAAGAGTATAGCTAAACAAACAGCATCATGGAGATCAAGGAGCTATCAAAACAATTCCTGGATAAAATTGTGCAGAAACATGAATCAGGGTTTGGTTATAAAATAAATACTCCAAACTTATGAGCATCTTATGTAGCACCATTAAATATATTATTGTAAAATGGAAAGAATATGACAAACCCTCTGTTACTACCCTGAGAAGGTCATCCATGCAAACTCAGTGATTGGGTAAGGGAGACATTAATGTTGTAAACCGTCCCAAGAAGCCAGTGGGGGGATGGTCTATAAAGGCTTTAAATCAATCAATCAATCAATCAATCTGAGAATCAACAAAGAGGCCAGTGGTAATTTTGAAGGAGCTGAAGAGTTCCACAGCTGATCACTCAGATCTCTCAAGACTGGGCTTTACAGGAAAGAGACTAGAAAAAAGCTGAAGCACAGTCATATTAAAGCTCATCTGAACTTTTCAAAAGCGCATGTAGAAAACACAGCAGACACATGGAAAAGGGGTTCTCTGGTCTGATAAGATCAAAACAGAACTTTCTTGTCTTGCTGCAAAATGTTATGTGTGGTGCAAGCAGCATTTTCTTGCCCACAACCTATCTGAATAGGAGTGATCATATCTCACGGTGTTGTTTGCACTCTATGCCTGTCTAATGCATTCTATGCCTGTCTTTTTGTTTTCGATCCATAAGGACCCCTGTTGTGTGGATTAGCTGAGGACACATCCTGCTCTTTTGCTCTCATGTGCCTTGTGGTGAGGCACTGTCCTTGGTGCTCAGAACATCTAAATGCAAATTGGGCTCCCTCTGGATTTTCTTCCGATGGTGGATAAAATAAAATCATTTGTAAAAGGGCTCATGGTTCGGAAGTCATCAGTTTGAGGACAAGAGTTGATTCAAAGGCTCTCGAAGATAATTTTCCCAGTGGAGGGCTAGTGCCTCGTTTCTATCCTCTGGATGGTTGCATTGGTAGGACAGAAACTTGGGTCAGATGTTCAGTGCCCCATTCAGAAAAATAAGCAAAGACTTTTGCAAAGGCAGCAGGGCTGACTTCCCATATTTCAAAGGAATGCACATTAACATCAAAGAGCTCCCTCCCTCCCTCCTTCCCAAAGACAATTAAGTCCAGAGCTTAAAAATAGCACATGTGCTGTTCCTCCTTTGTCCACATCTTTTTGCCTTGGAGTTGGCAACTGAGAATCTAGGCGTTGCAAGAGAAGAGCTGACTATTGCTGATGATAATTTATAGATAGAGTGCCTGTACTATTTTAAAGCCTCTAATCATCAGAAGAACTCATTGGAGAAGGCCACAGTTCATTAGATATTTGTGTGTTATTATTTAAAAGCCCCCTTGGTAAGCAGATATTTGCCTTTATCTTGTGCCTTGCTTGGTTTCCAGGGGATGTGGAGATTGGGTTACAGGAACGAAATGGGCAACTAGAAGTGGATATCATTCAAGCCCGAGGACTTACCCCAAAGCCTGGCTCCAAAACCCTTCCAGGTGACATTTTTCAACTTACCTCTAAATGGTCTCTGCCTTTTAACAAACTGCTGGCTCTTTGTTTCCATAAAGTTCAAGAGAATAGCTGAATCACTGTGACTGGATTGAACAAAGATGCTTGGTTTTACACAGAAATCACCAGTAAGATTGGATGAGCAAGGCTGTTACCCTTAGGAAACTACTTTTTCAAAGTAGAAGTGGAGATTAACATTTTGGTTTCTTTGGTCAACCTAATTATCTATCCAAACTGCTACCAATTCCGGTGGCTGTATTGAAACGTTCTGGAAACAATGATATTTAAGGCTATCACACAAATAACTCATCGTACAGCCAGGCATCTTTAGCAATATTTGGTGGAAAGACAGGATACAAATCTAACAAATGAATAGTAACTTGTAAGGCTCCTTGGGTTCTTTGCAAGAGGAAGAAAGGTAGAGTATAATGCAATACACTAACAACAACAACATACATACATACATGGTAGGCTGTGGCATGCATCCTGCAGGAAATGACCAGACTGATGTCACAGTAAAGTCAGAGTAGACAGATGGATTGTGCCCCCTCCAGCGGCCACTGATCACTGCACTGAGGCTCCGTGGCCTGGCCCTGGCTGCTGGGTGCTCGGGACAGGGAGGAAATCCAGGTATTTCAGCTCCAGAGTCCATGAGCAACTTTTGCCTACAGGTCAGAAGCTTTCTATTGATGTCTTATTGGCATAGGTAGTTATATGATGTTGGGTTCCATCAATGAAAAAAGGTCAGCGCTGAGGAGAGCATTCAAAGTGCCAGCCCAGCCCACCAGGAAAGCTGCAGCCCCACCATAAGGCAACCCGGACCTATGCAAATCAGGACTGCCCTTCAACATGGTGCCTAAATTCCACCTCACCAGCAAGTCATCTTCTAATATTTTCCCCGTCTTTCTCAGGTGACCTTCCCCAAGCTTAACATTGCACATAGGGCAAAACCAGTGGTGGAGCTGGTTGATTACAATGCAAACAGGCAGGCGGATGATCATCTAGCCAGCCAATCTGCCCTACTGACCCCCACATTTGAAGCAGTGCCTCTAAGCATACTAAGATGTACAATTTCCATCTTTGAAGTATCATTCAAGGTCTGGAGCTGGCTGAACAGGTAGTCTCACTGACTGGCTGGGGATCAAAAACCACTATATGCAAAGATATTTGCTTTGCCTGAGCAAAATATGGCCTTGGGAGCAGGTTATCTGATAGTGTTCCTTTTCTCATTTGAGCCTACCAGCTTTTAAGATTCTTGACGGAAGCACTTCTCTTGGTGCCAGCTACATTGGAGGCATGTTTCATGGAGATGCAGGGGACGGCCTTCTCAGTAACTGCTCCCTGGGTCTGAAATTCCCTGCAAGGGAGGCTAGGTTGACCCCTCTCTGGCATCCTTCAACCAGTGGACAACGGTTTCTATTCAGACACTGGTAAAAGAGCTAGCTTGTTGCTGAAGAGTGATTTGGTTGATCAGGTGCTGTTAGTTTCTTTTTCTATTATTTTAATTATGTTTTAATTTATGATCTTATATGATGCTTTCATTAAGAGTTCATTTGTAATCTATATTTTATTACAGATTACCTTGAGTCCAGTTTCTTTTGGCAGAAAGACAGGGTGTACACTAATTAAATAAATATAGATAAATAAAGTGGATGTAAAAGAAAATTGTTCGTCCTGACCATGGAAGAGTGAGCCTTTACCATGTGCTTTCTCCCCAGCTGCTTACATCAAGGCCTACCTGCTAGAAAATGGGGTTTGTATTGCAAAGAAGAAGACCAAAGTGGCTCGCAAATCCTTGGACCCCCTGTACAACCAAGTATTACTTTTCCCAGAAAGCCCTCAAGGCAAAGTCCTGCAGGTAAGATGGACATGTCTGAGCTCTGCTGACAGGTTCCCTGGCCAGCATAGGCTATGTTGCCATTCAGGCAAGAAGGAGGAAATGTGTCACAGACACACACAGAGGGCAAAAGAAGAGGCAGTTTTGCATCAAATTGCATGGATCAATTTACTGTAATTGAAATAGGAATACGGCGCATCTCTCTGTGCTGGAGAAAACTGCCCAGGTGTGCCTTCTCAGTCTGCTCTCCAGGTGCTCTTTGTTGACGGGCAACACCACCAAGGCCCCCAGCCTCTCCTTTCTCATGGTATCTTATCTTTGCACTAGTCTCCAACTGGACAGCGCTTCAAATAGAAGACACGTTCAAAAAGAGGACTGCCCTGGTAGAGTGGAACACATGGCCACCCTAGAAGGATGACAGGTGCAGCCATGGTGGTGTTCTTGGTGGAGGGGGAACAGAAGCAACTTGAAGAGGAGAGAGCTCTCGGTGGCTACTTATCTTGATAGTGACATATTCCTCCCAGTATTAGAGACAGTATACCAGTTGCTGAGGAACAGGGAGGGGTGCTATGTACTCATAGTGGGGGCTTCCCAGAGGCATATGGTTGGCCACGGCCTGAGCAGAATGCAGGTCTTCATAGGCCTTTGTTCTGATGCAGCGCAGTTCTACTTATGCGCTTACCTTCCCAAGAAAAAGGAGTATCAAACATTGCCTGTCTCTCAACTGAGCTGATGGAATCCTTCTGTTTCCCATCTGTCCCTCATGAAATGGCCGCTGCCAGCAGAGGGCTGATCAAGGGAGGAGCCTCATGGACTCAGATTTTCCATGGTTCTGCTGGTGGCCCTCCCTTCTTCACTTCACTGCAGCTCAAATTCCGACCCTGTGCGCAGATGATGATTATGCATTAGTCATAGCAAGTCTCCTTCTGCTTCTTACATTAGTATTGAAATTTCTTCTGCATGGAAGGTGAGAGGCTTCCCTTGGTTGAGTCTATGGGTGTGTCTAAGTTTGCAGTGCTAGCCACACAGAGCAGACTTCCTTCCTTGGTATGTATTCATCATGGTTTATTAGCCAAGGACGCATCACCCCAGAGAGCCAGTATGGAGTAATGATTAGCCTGTTGGACTAAGGCTTGAGAGATCCATGTTCTAGTCCACACTGGGCCATGAATATCACTGGGTGACTTTGGGCCAGTCACTGACTCACTGACTCTCAGCCTAAACTATCTTACAAGGTTGTTGTGAGGATAAAATGGAGAAGAGGACCATGTAAGCTTCCTTAGTTTCTTGTGAAAGGAAAAAAGTCAGGATATACATGTGACAGTCATGATGATGATGATGATGGCAGGGCTTATATACTGTGAAAAAATCCTGAAGTTTGCCATTGTGTGTTGGGCAAACCACTAACAGTTGCTCCTGAAGCATAGCACTTTAGTTTACACCATGGGAGTAAATGATGACCATTGGGATGAGCCATGTGAGAATATGCCTATACAAACTTCCTTGAATAATGCACATGTATTCAAAGTAATGCACATGCTTTTAATGTTAATGTTATTGTTCGCCACCTTGACTGCATTCCCGACAGTAAAGCAATGAACATTTCCTACCACTGCAGTCCTTAAGTATCCATCCATCCATCTCTTATCTAAGCCCTGCGGTCTGTTCCTTGGTCACAGTAGGATGTGTCAGAAGGTGGGAAGAATCATAGCTCCCTAGCAGAGTGCATGCTTTTCATGCAGAAGCTCTCTAGTTCAATCTCACACAGGTCTAGCTTTAAAAAAGAGAAAGGTCAAGTTGCAGGTGATGGTGATAGGAAACGCCCGAGCCTTAAACTGTACGGACCCACTGCCCATCCTAGTAGGATTGCTGTTCAAGACAGACAGATATCAGACCCAGTACAGAATAGTTTTCTATGTCTGGGCCACCAAAAACTTGCTTTTCCTTTTCTGCTTTATGCTTTGTCCAAAGCTGCTTTATCTTCTTTATCAGAAGCTGTGCCCATGGCTTTGTGAGCAGATTCCATGATTCATGCATGCTGCTTATGGACTAAACCTGATCCCTTCCCACTCCTTTCCCAGGTGATTGTCTGGGGGAACTACGGACGCATGGAACGCAAACACTTCATGGGAGTCGCCCGGGTTCTGCTGGAAGAATTGGATTTGTCAACTTTGGCAGTTGGTTGGTATAAGCTATTCCCAACCTCCTCCATGGTAGATCCTGCAACCACTCCACTCCTACGCCAATCCTCACAGCTTTCCTTGGAGAGCACAGTTGGACCTTGCTGTGACAGGTCTTAATGAGCAAGGACATACTGGGGAACTGCTTCTGTTTTTAACATCATGCTGTCGAGGTTTTGTTGCTGGAACGCTGTCCTCAAGCACATTGCATCTCCGATCAGTCCTTGGGGAAAGCCTGAAGGTGAGGATAGCCAAGTAACCTTGGACAGGAACCGAGATGGAGGCCAGTGACCTCTCTCCATCCAAGTGGGCGGAGCCACAGGGCACGATCCCAATTACAGAATCACACACACACCCCACAGACCCTTTCGCTTCCCTTCCTTCACTGTCGCCCATGCATCCTTGGTTTAGATTGATGTAAAACCTTGAAATGTCACAGCAACTTTTTTAAATTGGGGAAGATGTGGCTTTTTCTCATTAGTACTATTTTACAAATTTGAAAAAAAAAAGAATTTTTGGCAATTCTTAAATAGTAAAAAGCAAACATCTGACCTAAAAGAAGATAGCAGTTTCAGGGAAACTTTATGGGTTTTGTAAACTTTTTTCCCCTTTGAGGAATGTGGGGTGGGGGAAGGAACTGCAACTTTTTCTTAGAACAAGTCCCACCGTTCCATTTGATGTACAAAACTGTTGCTGTATTTTTTGTACACTGTGCCAAATTACCAGCAGTGTCTTCTACTATAGGACTTAGGCCAACAGTACTGCTGAAGCGTTTTTGTTAAAAGAACGAGAGTGTATGCTTTGATTACACCAGTTGGTTTTAGTACAGAGCGCATGGCAAACCAGTTAGTTGGAACATTGCACAGATAGTGCCGCCGAATGCAAATTGGAAATCTTACAAAGATGAGACTTCCTACCCACGGTTTGATATGAACATCGCCAACTCACATTCACACCTTACCTCACCTCAGCTTTTGCTGTGCTTTCCCCTGTTGTGCTCATGCTCCCACTATATAGACATGCTTGGCAGTTTCTAGTGCATATCTTACAGTACACCAGATTCCTCTAGAACAGGGATTGGTTTTGGTAGCTGTAGCTTATTCTACCACTGCAAACAAATTTATGATAGAAAAGATTGGGCTTTTTCTTATTTCTTTTCTTAAACAGGAGAAAATATCAGAAAATGACATTCTGTTTATTGCAGGAGAGATGTGTGTGAGATATCTTTGGATCCCTGCACTTAAGGAAAGGGGGTGATGCACTAAGGGAGTGCTATTTAAGACACCAGTGGTGTGAAGCAACCTGGAAGGAAGGCATTTTCACAAGTGACACTAAAGGCGCCTTGTGAACTCTTGCATGGTTTGTTTGCATGTGTAAGCACCTATGAAGCACCTCTCTGAATGAGCGACTGGTGGGACTAACAGGGGCATTTCAACTTTAGTAATGGATTTCTGTCTGTATGTTTGTGCCTGTCTGTTTCTGTGACCTGTGGGTGGATGTGTTCCACTCACACTGCATTATTGATCCTCCATCTACCAGCAGAACTGCCTATATCCCTGATTCAGTAAAATAGGGGTGTGTCTTCCTCTAGTGCACTAGCAAGAGAAGGACATACAGTGACCCAGAAGGAGAAGCTAAATGAGAATCCACTGGAGAGGGGGTAAAGGAGGACAGGTCAAAAAAGGGACTTCTCAAAAGTGAGAAGATCTGGTCACTGCAGATGGGATTTGTGGGTGATTTTATAAGGAAGGCAGGAAGGGAAGGAAGGAAGGAAGGAAGGAAGGGGAAAGGATAAAAATTCTGTAAATATTTTATGTTAGACAGTACAAAGATAACTATATATATTCTGCATACAGCTGAGACAGGAATCAACAGAAAGAGTCAAATACATTAGAGTAGAATTCACTTGATGGACAGCAGATTGCGCAGACGGGGCAAAGTAGTGTACCTGGACACAGCCATGTCTGAAAACTCCTGAGATTACTGTTAGAAGGTACCTCAGGCCAGGGTGCTCCATCTGTATTTAGATCTACCTTTTGTACGTTACTAGATGTTTATTTTAGCTCTCATTTTAATGAAGATTTTATTATTGCTATCTCAACTCTGCTTTCCTGTTAGATGCCAAAAGTTTGTTTCTTTCCACAGTTTGAGGTGCTGAGTCCAGTATGAGCATTTAGGAACCATCTGGAAATGGCTCCTTGGCCTGTTGTTGGAGCACAAAGTAGCAAACAGGTTTATATGTAGACTATGAAATAAGCATGAGAGAAGCATGACTTGCTGTAGAATGAACCTTAGGCAGCAGCATCTCATAGACAGTGTTTTAATGGCTTGGGAAATAAGCAGCCAAATGATGACAAAACAATAGGCCTAGTAATGATTCCTGCTAGACATTACCTAATATAGATAATAGAATAAGGGAACACTAAGAATTTAAAGTATATTAAAGCCATAGAGGCTCCAGAGTTTCCATCCAAATATCTTCGTTTCTTCTATGCCTGTGATTTCTGTATTTTTCCAATTCATGTTAAGTATTTTGTGTGTATGGATTGGAGAAAGGTAGTTGCATGCTGGCCAAAATATGTTGTGATTTTAAAAAGAACAAGTAATGATTTAAAAACACACTAACTATAGTTCAGCCTGACATCTCTTTATATTTGTCTATAGTAGGCACTAGGCAGTATTGTACAATGTATGTATGAACTAGAATAGATTGGGTTAGATTTAGTGGTTGGTAGCCATTTGGGTCTTTTAATAACCTTGTCTTTTAAAGGAATAATAAGAAAAAGATCACATTCCACACCTGGGAACTGAACTGCAGAAGTTTATGCTTTATAAATTCAAAGATGCTTATGTTGCTAAAACCTGTTTCCTGCAGTTCATCATAAACTTTTCCCCAGATGTTGATGGGGGACTGGGGGTAGAAATGCTGGAACATACCTCTGGTTTCCTAGCTCGTAGTTTCAGCACAACTGTTTCAAGATTTGCTGCTGGGTCATGATCTGCAGATTCTGCACTGCGTGTCCAGTGCCTTCTTAAATGAGAAGAGATAAATTACTTGAGTTAGAACAAAAAGGTTCATCTGAAAATGGCCTAGAAATGCTTTTAATAGAAAACATGTATAAACATCAATATATTCAATGTACTTTGATCCATGGTGACACTATAAAAAGACACTATGTGTTTATCACCTTTTATACAATTGGCTCCCAGATTGATTCACAAGCTAAATGACAGTGAAAATGATGCCAAATCAGAATAAACGTTCACACACGCGTGTACACCAGTAAGAGCAGCCATTAAAGAGACAAATTAAGGACACAATCCTATGCACAAGTGGAATGAAAAAAGTCCCACCACTTCCAGCTTTCCCCACTCAGCATAGCTGGCTGGGGACTGCTCAGAGTTGTTGGCCATTTTTGCCTAACATGTATAGGATTGTGTCCTTCACCAATTAAATGTGCTATCCTATGGCCTCCTTAGATTGCTGGGGGTGGGGTAGGATTCCTCAGAGTCCCAGCCACCAAGTCCTATGGCCTTGGTGCTACACGTCTGAAGGCTGAGCCCCAGCACCTCTTGCATCTGGAGAAGAACCAGTAGCATGGCTGCCTCACTAAGAGTGCAAATGTAGCACCAAGGGGGGGGGGGGAGGGATGTGCCAAGAGGCAGAGAGGGGAGGAGGCAGGGTCAGTCCCTATAAGCTGGTCCATATTGGCACCCTGGCTTCCTTCCTTCCCCAGAAGCAGCTGTCTAACTAAAAGGCATGGGGCAAGGTATGGCAGGGATCATCACTGCCATACCTCACTCTGGCTACCAGATGCGCTTCGGGCTCCAAGTCTGGAGGCTGATGTGCATCCAGGATAGAAGGTATTGGATTAGACTCAGAACATGAAAGCATGAACGACCCAGAAAAATAAAAACTTCATTTAGTGTTGAAAGGATACCAAATTACCTACTGGGGTGCCCCTCTAAGAATGGAATTTCATTAAGTGTGTGTGTGTTGGGAGGGAAACTTCCCTGTATATTTTCATTATAAAATATAATGAAAAAATATCAGAGTGGTGCACAATGTATTAAAATACAACATAAAGATATTTTTTCACTAAAAGCAAATACTCATCGAGTTACTTTGGGGAGAACTGATTCTTAACCTCTCCGTTTTTTTCCCTTTTGGAAGGGCCATTTTGATGGTGGCCAAAACCCAACACTGAGTTTCATTCACATGTGATCTAATTTTGGATTTGCAACAGGGGAGCTCAAAGGGCACTCCTGAGCATACAGAGTAGATTTTCAACCCTTTGGCCTTCCTGTCACACTCCCCATGGCTCTGAAAAGGTGTCCTTCATGCTAGGGGCAGCACTATTAAAGCATATTCCATGAGTGGCAAGGTTCTGCCACCAGAAGAGACTGGCCATCTCCCAAATATGTGCATGGACAGGGCTTTGTGGATCTGAATGAACATGCTGGAAAGTGAAACTGATTTTCAAGCAATTCACTTTTACTCCACCCAAAGAGCATTTTCAGAAGTGATTCATTCCCAGCCAAAAGGTGTTCTTAGCATCTCTTTTGAAAGTCCACTTGGTTTTGCCTCTGAACTAAGCTAGATTTGAACAGATGCATTTTTGCACTGTTGCATGTCTCTAAACAGGTGAGCTGAACATTTGTACATCTTTTTACTGCAATATCTAAAAATGGTTTAGAAACTCCCAACTGATAAGGGCCTGGGTGATGCCATTGGGCTTGGAATTGCTCCCCTAATGCAAAGTCCAGACCGGAGCCTGTGTTCTTCCTTGTTAGACTACTTGATTCCTGGTCATGACCCAAATGGTTCCTTTGGCATGTGATCCAGAACTTTCTTCCCACTGCCCATAGCAACTCTTCATGCTGAGTTAGTTGTTTCTGAAGCCACCCAAAGGTTTGGGCAGGGGGTAGGTCCTTGTGTAGCCTTTCAACAATATCAAGACCCATTGGTCTGACTTCTCTTTTGTCATTTGGGGTTTGTAAAGTAAGTGTCTTGCATTTGGAACCTGATCTCTTATTACCTTTTTAAAAGCATTTAACAGAACTGTGTCTCTGTGTACATCATTACTTCTTTAATTGGGAAGCAGTAGCCGTGTTTGAAA